AATAATTTTTAAAAAGATATGAACTGGGATCAAGCTTAGAAGTGCTAGTCCAAGGTATAAAGAGACTGCTAAATAAAAACAGAAATACACACTCTAAAGGGGATAAAACTGATGCATGGGACCTTCTGAAGATTAACTCTCTATGTACATCAAAAACTTTTTCCAACAGGGTGAAAAGAAAACCTACAGACTAGGAACAAACATTTGGTAATTCCGTCTCAGACAAGAGTCTTATAACAAAAGTTTACAGAATACTCCTGGTCCTCCACAAGAAAAAGACTAATAACCAAATTACAAAATGGGCAAAAGACATAGAAAGAATTTTAACAGAGGAAAATATTCGAATGGCAAACAGACACATGAAGAAATGCTCCAAATCACGGGCAATAAGAGAAATGTAAATCAAAACCACAATGAAGTACCATCTCACTCCAGTAACAGTGGCAAAGTTTGACAGGGCAGCAAGTAATAGATGCTGGAGAGGATGTGGCAAGAAATGAACTTTTATACACTCTTGGTGGGACTGTAAAATGTTGCAACCATTCTGGAAGGCAGACTGGCGCTTCCTCAAAAAGCTGAACATAGAAATTCCATATGACCCAGCTATTCCACTACTTGGAATATACCCTGAGAATATGAGAACTGAGGCACAAACAGATTTGTACACCAATGTTCATAGCAGCATTATTCACCATCGCAAGAACATGGAAACACCCCAAATGTCCAACCACAAACAAATGGATTGAGAAATTATGGTACATTCACACAATGGAATACTATGCAGCACACAGGTGCAAGAATTTTGCAAATTATTACTTAACTTGTGACGGACTGTGTATGTCCATTATGCTGAATGAAATAACCAAGTCACATAAGGATAAATATTGTATAAAAAATATTGTAGAATGAATATAAGGATCCAGGAGGAGTGGGAGAGGCTGGGAGCAGAGGGATGTGGATGTGCAGGGGGCAGGGGGGATTAATCACTGGGTTGTACAATTTGATGGGGGGTGGTAAGGGAAATGGAAAGAATTTTTTCAAACTAGTGGAAAAATTAAAAAAAATTTAAAAAACAAAACAAAAATAAAAGCTTGTGAATGGCCATCTAAGCTATCACTACTGGTCTTCTCCTGTCCAGAGCAAAGGGGAATGTGTTGTCAGGTACAGTCCAAGCAATCACCACTCACAGCTATACTATGAACAACAGATCTGAACCTTGCCCTATCCTGCAACATCCTCATGATCTTAGAAATGCCCTAAACAATGATTCAGTCACTGTGTCATTCCACTGTATTTAGAGCCTTCATCTTTCTTGGACCCTCCACCTTTCCCAGCCTCATGGGACCTCTCCTGACATCATATCTCAAGGAGAGATCTCTCCTGACAACATACCCCAAGTATGTGAGATGAAGTTTTACCAACTTCCCTCTAGGTTGGACTTCCTCCAAGACAGACTTGTTTGTTCTTTTGGCAATTTGTGGGATATTCAGTACGCTTCTCCAACACTACAATTCAAAGATATCAATTCTTCTTTTATTCTTAATCACTGTCTAACTTTCAGATAAGTAAGAATCAACTGAAAACACCATGGCTTGGATTAGGTGCACCTTTGATCTCAAACTGACATATTTTGTCTTTAGCACTGTTGAGAAAAACAGATTTTCCCATCGTAACATGTATTTTGATTTCTTGGCTGCCGTTACCATGGATGTTGATTGTGGATTCAAGTAAAATGAAATCACTGGTGACTTCATTTTTTCTCCATTTATCATGACACTAACTATGGTCCAATGGTGAGGATTTTAGTCCTTTTGATGTTCGATCTGCAATCCATATTGACGGCTGTGGTTTTTGATCTTCTGCAGCAAGTTCTCTTCATTTTCAGCAAGTAAGATGATGCCATCTGCATAACACAGGTTGTTGATGAGTTTGCCTCCAATCTTGATGCCACATTCTACTTCATATAATCCAGTCAAGTACCTTTCCTCCAGATTTCCATAAAGAATACAAAAGGTCATTTCAAAGAAAGAGTAGGAAGAAAAAGCTGAGATGGATGTTAAAACAGATTCTGAATTATTGCACTAGGACACCGAGAAGCCAAATCAAAGGAAAGGCATCAGGGTGGTAAGGAGCTGAACAGAAAATTTCAAAGAGCAGCTTGGAAAGACAAAAGAAAAATATAATAAAATATGCAAAGAGATGGAGTCAGAAAATCAAAATGGATGAACTCGCTTGGCATTTCTCAAGCTGAAGGAACTGAAGAACAAATTCTTGAGTTGCAATACTTAAAGATGTTATGGGCAGAATACTGAAAGACCCAGGAAGCGTCAAGAGTAGACGGAAGGGGTACACAGAGTCACTGTACCAAAAGAATTTGCTGACCCAGAAGAATTTAATGAAACATCATATGATCCAGAGGTAATGATGATGAAGGAGGAAATTCAAACTACTCTAAAGCAACTGGATAAAAAAAAAAAGTAACAGGAATTGATGAAATACCAACTGACATATTTCAACAAAAAGATGTACTGGAAGTACTCATAAGATTGTGCCAAGAAGTCTGGAGGACAGCTACCTGGCCAAATGACCAGAAGAGATCTATGCTTATTACCATTCCCAAAATAAGGTGATTCTCTCTGTAGCAACAAGATATTTCCATTGGAACCAAGGGTGAGACATACTCTGACTCGAGATTCTCTGGCAAATGAAGGATGCACTGATGTTGACTGAAACTTGCTTAGTGTATGCTGATAACGCTCAATAGAGATTAGTGTTCATACTATAATTCCTTCATTGTTGTTGTTTGAGTACTGTGGAGTCAGAACCGGCACATAGCTGACCCTCTGACGGGCTTTCAGAGACAGCTGATTGCACAGGAAGAGATTGCCCATCCTTCTCTCATGGAGCAGCTGGTGGATTTGAACTGTGTGCCTTTGGGATTGCAGCACAGCTTCTTCTTACTAGGCCACCAGAACTCCCTATTCATTCATTAGCATACAGAATATTTTGAAGATTCACTATGCTTTAATTTTATTTTTATACCTGGAAAGCTGGTAAGGAAAACAAGGTGTTAATTATAATTCACTAGACTTTATTAAGATTAACCTATTTGTATGACCTGTCTCTTTTCTAACTTTATAAGGAATTTTGCCGCACTCATGTCTAGACTAGAATCAACATGGATCCAGCAAGGCTATGCCCTCAGGAGCAGATAGTGTCTAGAGTTTACTAGGATGAAGGCAGACCTTAGGCTCAGTGTCTACACAGCTTAGAATTTAGCTTAAGCATCTGTGTACCTCAAGCAAATCAAGTCTTTCCCTCAACAATTTATGTGGTGTTTTTCAAGTCTGTATGACTGGACTGCTGCCTTGATTTCTTATCTTTTTCTCTACTGAAAGTAGAGTCACTTGTTCAAGACCTTAAGAAGGTCTGGTAAGGAATAAGTGTCTTATCCTAGGGATAAGTGCCTAGGGATCTGACCCAGTTTCCTCTCCTAGTTCCTGGCTATGACCCAGCTCCAAACAAAAAGGTCAACCAAAAACCACAACAGAGCTACTTGCCTGACTTTTAATCATCTTCATTAGCTAGACACTCTTGTGATAAATTCTTGCCTTAGAAACAGAAACCAGTCAAGTTCAAGTCTGCATTCATGCCATTCTCAGGCTACTTTGTCATGTGATGATTGGCCTATGCTGCTGAGGTCTGTGCACTGCTGGTGCAGAAGCTTGTTGAAGCTATGACAATCTGGAGGGGAGAGAGAGAAATTGCATTGAGAGGGAAAAGATTCAGTTGTTAGAGGAATAAATTAATGAAACTTGTACAAAATCCTCTCTTGAGCAGTGGAGTAAGTTAGAAAAACACATTCATTAAGGGATAATGCTAAGTTTGTGCCATCTTAATTGGGTTAAGATGTCTCTTGAGAAAGAGATCTTTTTCTATACATAATCTGATGCCAACACGCCTAACCATATGTCTTAAAAAGAGACTTCAAACACTGACAAAATCAGCTTTTAAATGGGCCAACTTCACTTTATACAAATGAGTTTAAAACCAACAGTTGTTCTGAAGTAACAATTCCCAACTGAGGTCAGAAGAGACCCTTTGCCTTCCTCTTTTCTTGCCCTCCTTTCTGTGTTCCTTCAATGGCTTTACACTTGATCTATTTCTGACCATGTTCTGCCTTCTGGACTTGGCATTTGACTTGGGAATAATCTTGGTATTATTCCTGGGATTAACCTTGGTTCCCAAAGTAAGCTAGATTTGGGTCCTCCAGCCATGATAGGTTGCTTCAGAAAACTTTGTATAAATGCTTTTCCTGACTAAGTACAGTTCAGAAGCACTGATGACCTTAGATTTTGTTCCATATGCTGTATATCTGGTGGTGTAAACTATAGCGAGTTGTGCTGCTAACGCAAAGGTGACACCTCTTTGATGGTTCAGATCCATCAGAGGCTCCTCAGGAGAAACATGGATGATCTCCTCCTGTGTGCTTCGTTGTTGTTAAGTATGTCGAATAGATTGCGACTCATAGTGACCCTATGTACAAGAGCTCCAAACCCTGCTCTATCCTGAGCCCACCTTATTGTCTTGGACACTCCTACCCCCATTACTCTAGTAATTACTGAGTGAGTCAACCCGTCTCACCGAAGGTCTTCTGCTCCTGCGCTGTCCCTCGACCCTCCCAAGCATAATGTCTCTTTCCAAGGACTGGTCCCTCTTTGCACCATGCCCAAAGTACGTTGGATGGGGCTTCAGAATCCTTGCCTCCAAGAAGCAGCCTGGCCTCACCCTCTTCAGGATGAACCTGTTTGTTCTCCTAGCAGTCCTAGAGTATATTCAATACTCTTCACCAGCAACACAGCTCAAAAGCATCAATTCTCCTTCTATCATCCCTAGACTTTGCCCAGCTTTCTGATACATAGCATGTAACTGCAAAGACCTTGGCCTGGATCAGGCGCACTTGGTCTCCAGACTGACATCATTGCTCTTCAGTACTCTGGAGAGGTCCCTGATAGCAGACTTTCCCTATGCAATTTGTCTTTTGATTTCCTGGCAGCTGTTACCAAGACTGTTGATTGTGGAGCCAAGGAAACTAAAGCTGTTGACAATCTCAATCTCTTCACCGTCTAACATGATGCTACCAATAGGCCCAGTGGTGAATATGTTTTTTTTCTTGATGTTGAGCTTCAATCTATATTGAAGGTTGCAGTCCTTGACCCTCTACAGCAAGTGCTTCAGGTCCTCTTCAGTTTCAGCAAGCAAGGTTGTGTCATCTGCATAACGCAGGCTGTTGATGAGTCTTCCTCCAATCCTGATGCCACATTCCTCCTCACAGAGCCCAGCCTCCCCAACAACTCACTCAATGGCCAGCTATTAGTCAACGACAATGAGTTTGAGTTTATGGAGGCCACTGATTAAGACCATCACTTTGTTAATGGAAAGACGAGTCTCTTCACTAACTGGAATCACTGGTCCTGTCTATGACAATCTTGTCTAATAGTTTTCAATGGTTCATTTAAAAACTACAGCAGAACAGGACAAAAATTTTTTCCTATAGGCAGAATGATGTGTTTTGGGTCATGTGACAGGAATGGTAAAAAAGAGGATCATTTATTGGAAAATATGCAAATCACGTACTCATTCATTAAATCTAGACACCAAGGAGTTGTTCCCTTGGCTTCTCCTCTCCATTTATCACCACCAATTGGTCAACAATTCCTGTAAATTGTAATTTTTAATAAACTGTAGCAAGTTGTGCTGCTAATGCAAAGGTGATGCCTCTTTGAAGGTTCAGATCCCTCAGAGGCTCCTCAGGAGAAAGACTGGGCAATCTCTTCCTGTGTGTTTTACAGCTTCCCAAAAACTCACTGGAGGGTCAGCTATTAGTCAATCCCTAGGGCAATGAGTTTAAGGACAATGATTGGTCACTATCTCCTCTGTCCTTGTTTATTTCTGACTCTTAATACTTTTCACTTGATTATGCTAAGTGGTCCCACTACTTTATGTCTGTACCTCCCATCCTAAACCACTCTTCATGAAGCAGTCAGATCTTTCTGGTGTAAAAACCAGGTTAGTTCATTACTCAGTTTGGTTTTTTTTTAACGTACATGCAATACTTTTATTTTAAACATGCCAGGAAAGCCTTTTCAGAGTCTATTAATTGAAAGCAAGCAGCAGTATACAGATCACAAGAAGCAACATGTTAACAAGCTCAGCACATAGCATCCAAAGCAAAGAGGCACGAGACAATGAATATTCATGCAGTATTAAAAAATCATATGAAGTGTACTGCCTGGCAGGGGAGGTGAAGAGAAAAAATGGTCACCTGCACAATCCTCCAGTTCTAATCTCCCAGAGCCGTCAAATGCGGTGCATGACAGCAAGAATGGGTGGGAGGGAGGGAGAGATGGAAAGAGGTGTTTTCCTGCCTATTATTACATTTGTTCAAAATATATTTTCATATGCCTGGCAATATATAAGTATGTAGCTAAGTAGTGAAACATTTATCTATTAAAAAGAAATACTAACATTTGGGAAGATTACTAACATAACTGGGGAGGGGGTTCTCTTCTGCTCTAACGTTGTGATAGTTCTTTAAGGGACTGTTGGGTATTATTACACCGTACATATGTGTCTCACTAACTGTGGCATCACAAAATGGT